GCTGAAACTAGCCCTGAAAAACAAATATTTTACAAAAACCTTTCAAGGTCAAGTCTTGCCTATAGTCGTGTGATAGTACCTCAAAACTTTATTATGTACATGTGAGTGTAGTTTTAACACAGTGAGTAAACTCTGCTTTAAAGGTGCAGCTGATCACCTGTTCATCATCACTCCATCACAGAGTCTCTGACCTCAGATCTGTTTTCATTAAAAGCTTCTTTCCTTTCACATATTTATATTTATCATTATATGTTGAAATTTAAATCATAATAGACGGTATATTAACCTATTGGGAGAAAACTGGTAGGACATCCTGGAGGTCAGCTACACACTTCGTTTGTGATTGTCTGCATTTATTTAATGTGTTTTTCTACACAAGGTGTGTCTGTTGTGACGTCACAGCGCCTTCTGTAGATATAAGTAGTGAAGTTGTGAGAGTGTGACAGACTGAAGGAGAAGCAGCAGTTTGTTTCCTCTGAAGGTGAAGCCGCAACGTTTCTTCAGTTCAACCTGCTGGTGAGTTCAGACAGGTAAGCATCCAACCTGGAGACATTACACATGTCTGATAAATCAGCTTGCTCACACACACACACATGTGCTACTGCTGAGCCTGGGCAGGAAGGAGCACATACACTCAGAGCTGTAGAGTTTTCACACTGTGATCCTAACTTTACACTATAAAATAACACTTTAAATGATGACAGTGTAGATCATCATTGCTCTAGTAATTAATGATAACAATTTAGGCTATAATACTCCAAAATAATTGACAACAATACTCCCAAATACTGATGAGTTTTGGTTGAATATGTGTTGATTCCTGAGTGACTGCAGAGCGTCTGTAGAGCTGCAGACTGTGGTTGTATGAAGTGATGGCGGTGAAGTCTGTCAACATGTCTGTAGTTTGTGATGCTGCAGAATTGTGTTTGATTTTACTGTGAGGTGACTCTAATATTCTAAAAATCCTATATTACCATGAAATAACAATTCTAAATCACAGAAAGACTTTGAACCCTGATCAATTCTATTCAACAGTCGGTGTCATGATTTGTATCTAATGCAGTTTTGTGAGGGAAGTTATTACTGTCACTCCCAGCTTAGTGTATTGGGGAGTGACGGAGCTACAACCTAAACACCAAATTTAAATTCTACTTATTCTGCATTCACATAATAATCTGTTCCATGTGAGTTCAGTGACGGAACAAATATATTGTTGCTGTATTTTCAGAGCATCAGACGGATCCACATCAGCAGTTTCAGCAGAAATCTGACAATGAAGGTGAGTTTGTGAACTGATATTTTACAGATCTCAAAGTCCTGTTAAACTGTGAAGAGGCTTGTGACATCGGTAGCTTAGATGGTTGCTACAGCAACAACCCAGGCAGATAATTATTGTCAGTTAGCTCCACCTTAGAGGTGTCTTTGCCCACACCGCCATGAAACTAGAGGCCAAGTCAGTCAGAACGACAACATGTGCTCTGTTCCAGCTGGTATCAGTCGTCTTCCTCCTCCTGGCTCCTCTGTTGACCAGCTGCCAGCTCGTCCAACCGGTGGACTGCAGTGACATCTACAAACAAGACAAGAGCGTCCCCAGTGGAGTGTACACCATCTATCCCCTTGGAGAGAGGTCTGCTGTCCAGGTACACTTCACCTTCTCTGGGACTCAGCTTCACATTTATGCTGGAATCAAAGCAGAGTTACTGAGTCAGATCAGGTGATCATGCTGTAGAGGCACAAACTCTTGCTGTGAGTACCTATGAACCCAACCAATCACAGCCCTTTGAGAGAGGAGGCATCAGGGGCCGACTTTCCTGCCCCCCCTGGCAGCACCAACAACAGCAGTCCTTTTTCTTTTCTCCATGTTTAACAAAGATCGCTTCATGTTCTGGAACGGCATCATATTACTCTTATGAATACAATAATCTGCTGACTTTGCTGCTACTAATCACACCACTGTCACTCAGCTTGAGATGGTTTTGCACAGTTGCTCAGTTCATTCACATTTGATACTGATTTCTTTTTAAAAAATTAAAATTTTAAAGAAATTTATTTATTTAAATTTTTAATCTATTATTATAATATAACACACGTTACCTTTTCATTGATTTCTTTATTTAAATTTTCTAATATATTATTAATAACACACACGTTACCTTTTCATTGATTTCTTTATTTAAATTTTTAATATATTATGTAATAACACACACGTTACCTTTTCATTGATTTATTTAAATTTTTAATATATTATTATAATAACACACACACGTTACCTTTTCATTGATTTATTTAAATTTTTAATATATTATAATAACACACACACGTTACCTTTTCATTGATTTATTTAAATTTTTAATATATTTTAATTTTTTTTTAAACTCACGCTTTAATTACTTGTTTAATGAAATGTATGATGTTTATTGTTCTTATGTAGTTTGTATGATGCTTTGGCCATATTGTTGTTACACATTCATGCCAACAAAGCTAATTTGAATTGAATTGAATTAAAGAATCCAGTTCAACACGAGATTCAAACAGACTTTTCATTTGCATGTTTCTCCTTTATCTCTTTAAATGTTATTTCTGTGTGTTTGTGGATGCAGGTGGCCAACTACGGCGTGGGAGGACAGTACGAGCCTCACTTTGACTTCGGACGGGTAAATGGACGTTTCCCTCTCAGCAGCAGGAAGCTCTGAAATGATGCTTCTGTGTTTGTCTCTGAAGTGTTGATTAGTTTTGGCAGAAAGAAGAGAAGACGAAGTACTCAGCTCTTTTACTTCAGAGGAAGTAGTAATACTACAGCGTAGAAGTACTCTGTTCTTAGTAAAAGTACAAAAGTATCAGCACCAAATACACTCGGTGCAGGATAATATCTCTGATGAAGTTGGAGTATTGATTGATTTCACTGTTGTGATCTTTCAGAAAGATGAACCGGATGCGTTTGAAGAGTTGGGGACAGGAAACAGAATCGCCACCTGGCTGCTTTACGTCAGTAACCCGCACACGATGTTTCTTATCTTAGTAGCTATGAGCAGAACGCCGCCGCCCGCCCCGCCCACTGTTTGGTCTGTCTAGCTGTCAGTCAACATCTCAGTCATTGTGAACAAAATGATCTGTCACACTTAGTCACGTACTAAGTGAACTCTTCACCTTACTGTAGTTGACCTTTGACCCCATTAAGTCATAAAGTCAGAGACAGTAAAAACTGAGTAAATATTTATTTGTTCTACTTTATCAGTTCTCTCCTGTTTTTATTTGATTATGAAGCTGCTCAGACGTCTGAGATGAGACGTCACATCTTATAATAAAAACATTTTCTTTCGAGGCGAACCTAAAATCTTCATGTTATAGAATTTATTATAGAAATAAATCTTCACTTTCAGACAGCACTGATTATTGTGAGAGAGAAAATGTGCCAAACTGACTGCAAGGGTTAATCTGTCTCCTCCTTCATGCTGCAGATGAGTGACGTACAGGCAGGGGGCGCCACCGTCTTCACTGATGTTGGAGCTTCTGTCCGGCCCAAAAAGGTACAGTTCACTTTAGTGCTGCAGCTCCATCAAGCCTCTGACAGAGTAAAGATCAGTAATTGATTGTAATTGTACAATATACATAGAAAAAAACTCATGAAATGTTGATCAACTACATGAGGACGATAACTACAATCTGCTCAAATGTTTCTGAGCTAATTTAAACCTACCTGGTTCTATTTATAAACAGATTACACTTCATTAATAAATATAATACTTAATATATTTGAATGAGGATGATAAGGACAATCTGCTCAAATGTTTCTGAGCTAATTTAAACCTGTTAGTTCACACAGTAACACAAACCAACTAACCAACAACTCTCACGTTCTGCAGTATTTTATATTTACAATAGAGTCTGGTGGCTTTGAAGAGCGTGATGTAACGGCTGTTTCTGTTTAAACAGAAAAAGGGTTCTGTGTTTGCTACATAAAGCCTCTCACAGGGTAAAGAATTCAAAAAATAAATAAAAACATCTGTCGGGTGTAGTGGACTGAAACTGAAGACAAGTTGATCACCTGCTTCTGCTCCAATCTCTCTGAACTATTTTAAAGAGTCATTTTGGTGTTTTTAACAGGTGAACTAACAGGTTACAACACCAAAGTTACACACGTTAAATTATGTTTTTTGTCAATGGAGTCTGGTGGCTTTGAACAGAGCGGCTGTTTCTGGTGAAACAAAAAGGATCTTTAAAAACAGGAGTCTGAACGTCCATCCACAGAGAGATATTAATTTATTAAACCAGCAGATAATCCAGATTATCAGCCGCTGGTTTCAGCTCCACAGTGAAGTGTTGCTCTAAAAATATAATAATAACCTTTATTTGTAGAGCACTTTTTGAAAACAAGTGTAAAAACAACAAAACACAAAACAGTCACATGATAAAAGCAAGAAAACACTGAAGAGACTAAAATACACATTTAAAATAGATATCAAATATATATAGAATAAATATTTCTTGTATTTATAATACAATAAAGTCAAATAAAATCAGGAAAGGCTCTCCTATAAAAGTATGTTATAATAAAATTCTAAAACATAGTGGGAGCCGGTGTGACGACGCTAAAACACGGGCGATGTGGTCATATTTGTTGCTATGTGTGTCTCCAGGGGACGGCGGTGTTCTGGTACAACCTGCACCCCAGTGGAGAAGGAGACTACCGGACCCGACACGCTGCCTGTCCCGTTCTGGTCGGCAACAAGTGGGGTGAGTTCACAACCTGTCTGAACATCTGGAAACAGCGTTCACACAGGTGGAGACACCTGGTGGGGCAGGTGTGTAACTGTACACACAGAAACTGCAAACAACAAGGTTTATTCAGCCGTTACTTCATTTCATCCTCTGCTGGGAAGCTCTCTGTTCCAACCTGAGCTCCATCAATCAGTCAGTCATTGATCATCAGGAAAGCAACTCAAGTACTGTACTTCAGTACAATTTTGAGGTACTTTACTAGAGTATGTCCGTTTTCTGCTACTTTATACTTGTACACTGCATTTCTCTGGCAGCTTTAGTTGCTCTCGACAAAATTCTGACTGCGTCTTCATGGTAAACTGTATTTTATAGCAAGCAACACACATTTAATACTTGATCTAAAACAAGAAGATGTATTTTAAAGGATCACAACGGTGTTAAAGTGTCAGTTTATTATCTGCTGCTTCAGGAGTTTAGAAAAGTACATTCATGTTTCTGCTTAACGTGTTTTATTATCTGCTGCTTATGAAGCAAAACGGGGAGGGTTATTATTCATGTAAATATATTTTAAACCCCTTTTAAAATTGACCAATGACGTGAAAGCAAAACTTCAATTTTATATCGTAAAAGGCCGGAGGGCGCCACAGAGCTCGTGTTCACACAGCAGCAGCAGCAACACGAGCATAAAAGTTGAAATATGTGCTACTGACTGTCGACAGGTGGAGCAGGTCCTGGTTTTACTCCGACCCCTGAACTGGTCTTCTCTGTCCGCAGTGTCCAATAAATGGATCCATGAGCGAGGGCAGGAGTTCAGGAGGCGCTGTGGCCTCCAGGAGACGGACTAACAGCAGACCACCTCCTCCTCCTCCTCCTCCTCCTCCTCCTCCTCCTCCTGCCTTCCAGTCTGTGACATTTTCCAATGCCAATATTCAATAACTATTCAAATATTGATTCTTCACACTGTTAATGCAGAATTAATGTGTTGATTAAGAACTTAATTGAAACTTCACTATTTTATTTAGACGTTAATAAATATCTTATTAAATTGACATGTAGCATTTATAAGCAATATATAAAATAATAAAACTCTATAAACATATTTTAGTTTTCAGTATTTAAGAACAACTCCTCTCATGAAGGATCTCTACCAGGTTCTATTTATAAACAGATTACACTTCATTAATAAATATAATACTTAATATATTTAATACTTCATATAAACATGAAGATAAATTTAAATGATCACAACGGTGTTAAATTGTCAGTTTATTATCTGCTGCTTATAAATCATAAACGTGGGCGGTAAAGTTTACTGATTAATGGATTCTAACATGTAATTGTGTTGATAGATTATCTGCTCAGTTTAAGGGTTAAAAACTCCTGTAAATGAAAGCATGAAACATGAAAGCACAACTTTATTTTTATCATTTTTATCAGGCTCTTTTCAGTGTTCAGTTCAGGGATGATTTGGTCCATTTTGAATAGTTTACACAATAAATGCCTTAAAGTGTGCAGATCGCCCTTAATTTCATTAACAAACACTGAATCTGGAAATGAAACAAATGAAGAACATGTGATGTAGTTTTGTGTTTATTACCTTAAATCCTTCAGTAAACACCATGACATATGAGAATTCATTCATTTATACATTCATTCATCCCAAAGTTGGGATGAACCCCTGAAGTTCCACATAATAAACAATAACTGAAAGAGTCATGTTCTTATAAATAAATAAATACAATAAATATTTCTAAATTAAACCCTTCAAATAGCACGGTCTAGAAATACTACGTTAACCTGCATCCTGTATTAGCATCAAATATACTTACTTCCCACCAGTAAAAGTACTCATTATGCAGATTGGGTCATTTCAGAATAATATATATTAATGGATTATATTTATTAACTCATTCATGTGTTCATCACCTTAATGTTCCAGCTGGTAAAGGTTGTTAGATGCTGCTGGACAGCTCAATCTGTAATAATACTTAAAATAACCATTTGGAGTCCAATATTTCCCTCTGAGAAGTACTGCAACAAAGCATGACAGGGAAACACTGAAGTACAAGTACCTTAAAACTTTACTTATGTACATGTGGACATGTGAGTGTTGTTTTAACTCACAGTTTAAAGGTGCAGCTGGTCACCTGTCCATCATCACTCCCTCACAGACCTCAGATCTGCGTCATCATCATGAAGATCCATCCTGTGCAGATGTTCTCCAGGACCAACACACAGCAGATTATCAGCAGCTGATCTCTCTTTTAACACCAGGACAGGAACTTCAGCTGGCAGAGGATCCTACTGCTACAACAACTCGCTCTGCAGACAGTAGACACTGATGATAGGCTTTGATTCACAATACAGGACTGCAGCTCCTGCATCACTGTGTATTTAGTTTCATTTATTCCAACAAAGCGTGTTTCGGGCAAATCTGTTGGCATCACCTGCACTTTACACCAGAAGAAGAAACGATGCTTAACAGAGAAAAAAACAATCAAACATGCAAACAGCAACAAGGCTGAATGTTCAAGTTTTTTAATTGACTGATGCGATCTTATCTGTGTTTAACCTTCAGTCAAACCCAGAAGTAGTTCCTGTTCCTCTTCAGAGCAAACTCATTCCTTCTGACACAACACTATGTTTTTGTAGGATGTGATGATTGTGAAATGAATGAAATGTTTAAAGTAGAAAACAAATTTGTTTCATCTTTTAAATATGCTTTTAATACATTGGATGAAATGACTGTGAGGTGAAACTGTCTCTGGTTGTTCTGAACCACTGGCTGTATAAACATTTCTAAATTAAACCAAAATCCCTTCAAATAGCACGGTCTAGAAATACTACGTTAACCTGCATCCTGTATTAGCATCAAAATATACTTACTTCCCACCAGTAAAAGTACTCATTATGCAGAATGGGTCATTTCAGAATAATATATATTAATGGATTATAATTATTAACTCATTCATGTGTTCATCACCTTAATGTTCCAGCTGGTAAAGGTTGTTACATGCTGCTGGACAGCTCAATCTGTAATAATACTTAAAATAACCATTTGAAGTCCAATATTTCCCTCTGAGAAGTACTGCAACAAAGCATGACATGGAAACACTGAAGTACAAGTACCTTAAATTAAGACTTTTATCTTAAATGATTTTATCTTGTCTGCAAATCTAGATTTTATGTTTTTAACTGAATCCTGGTTGCAATGAATGACTATAGCCAGCTAGCTGAACTGTGTCCGCCTCAATATGATTGTTTTAGTCAACCGAGGGTCAGTGGTCGTGGTGGTGGGCTAGTGAGCGTGTATAGGGAAATTTTAAATGTCATCAAGTACGCTGTGATGAATTTAACTCCTTTGAAGGTCTCACTCTTAAACTTGGAGCGCTGCAACCTGTCATATTTGTTATAATTTATCGCCCCCCAAAACTGCCTGGAGGATTTTTATCAGAACTTCCTGAATTTTTATCTACTCTGGTTTTAAATTATGACAAAATTGTTCTTTGTGGCACTTTCAATATTCATGTTGATGAACCCACCAATGTTAATGCAACTGACTTTTTAAATATGGCCACTTCTTTTAACTTCAAACAACATGTCAAAGGCAAACACATAACCGTGGTCATACACTGGACTTACACTGGTTTTTACCCTGGGTGTCAGCATTTCCTCTGTGGAATTAGTGGACATGACCATATCTGACCACAGATGTATTGTTTTTAGCTGCGATTCGCCTTTCTTGTCCTTCCAGTCCAGTTTATCCGTTGATACATTACTTAGGTATAGGGTTTCAAAGGTAAATGGAAAAACAAGTGCAAAAACATTCTGTATAAGCTCATGAATTCTATACCAATACTGAGAAATAACTTGGCAGTCCCAAAAAATGTGGAAATGGTTGGCACCAACCCCCCCACATCTCCAGCAAGTATCTCCAATGCCCCGATACCTTTTCTGAACAGGGGTGATAAAAAATCTCAATACACTTTTCCAACAAAATTCACGCCATACATTAGAACCAGTTGTAACCCATTGTATCTCGCATATGTGTTCCCAACATTCTTTTGTGATTTTCAGATTACCTTCTTTTTCCCATTTCGCCTTGACACAGTGTGTGCTGTCTGGGCCAAAAAATCCTGCATTATTTTGTACCATTCCGGACCAATCCATCTGCCCCTGCCATCTTCCCTCCCTTTAATCTTTTAATTGCCAACTGAATTTCTTCTTTAGTTATTGTGGATAATAACTTTTCATTTTGTTCCTTTGTCACTGTTGGTAACTCAAGTTCAGACAGGAAGGCTTTAATATCCTGGTCATTGTCTATATGAGGTTGAGAATATAGTGTCTTATAATACTCCAGAAAGCATTGTTGAATTTTTTCCTGTTCAGTTTCTATTCGATCCTTTAGGGGATTCTTAATTTTGTGAATAGATCTCTCCGCTTGCTGTTTCCTAAGCTTATAAGAAAGAAGTTTCAATGATTTCCCCCCTACCTCATAGTACTGTTGCTTTATAAGAATGAGTTTGTTCTGTATGTCCGTGGTGTTCAAATCATCTATTTCTTTTTTCAATTTTGTTATATCCGATTTAATATTACCATTATGAGACGCGGAGTGTTGGTGTTGCAGATCTAGCAACTTGTCTTCTAAGTGCCGGAGTTTTTGCAGACCTACTTTTTTCAGGTGAGAGGAAATACCAATTATATTCCCCCTAATCACTGCCTTAAGTGTTCCTGGTGACACCTCGTCCTTATCGTTATATACTAAGTACTCTATATCTTTCTTCAAGCGCTCTTTAATATTTGGGTAATTAAGAATGTTTGTGTTCAACCTCCATAAGGTGGATCTTTTCTTCCTGTTCAGGCAGATATCAGCGTAGACCGGGTTATGGTCTGATATAGTACAGGGACCTATTTCACAATTTTTTACCCTGAGGAGATCAGTTCTAAACATGAAGATATAGTCTAACCTTGAGTAGACATTGTGTGCACATGAATAGTGGGTATATTCCCTATCGGTTGTGTGGCAGTCCCTCCACACATCAACTAATCCTAATTCGTCCATCAGGTGTACCATTCTTTTCCCAATGTTTCTCGAATCACCTTTCCCGTTTGAAGAATCTAATTTGGCGTTTAGTGTGAGGTTAAGATCACCGCCATATAATAGAATTCCCTGACTCCTTGTTGTTGTTAATTCAAGGATCTGTTTATACAAGGACCATTTGCTTCCTATATCTACCCTCCTTATCTTTATACTCTGATATATGTTCATAGTTCAGAGCGCTGTGCACTAAGATTGCCACACCTCTTCGCTTCCCCGAACTGTGAGAAGAATAAAAGACATGTTTAAAACCAAGCTTGTTCAGTTTTTCATGTTCGCTATCCGACAGATGTGTTTCCTGCATAAAAACAACCTTAGCTTTCTCTCATTTAAGGTTAGATAGGGCTTTCCACCTTTAACCCGGATTGTGTAGGCCATTAATATTGATTGATACCATCTTCACTGGTCTGCTATTCATCTAAATCATACAACGAATACACCCATTCTAATAGGCTCCCCACACACCCTTGTAAACACTGAACATGGAACACATGAACAAATAACATCAACAAAAGACAAAAATCAAACTGAGGTAGTTCTAACTTCCAAGGTAGGGGTCCTAGCGGTGGACTCTGCTTCGCCTTCAAGGGCAACTTCTTCATCAGTCAGTGGAGGAGGCCCTCAAAAGCTAAGGCCTCACTGAGAAGAACACCCTCCAAAAACCTTACTTATCTGCTTATTGCACACCATTAAACTGAATAACAGTTATTTTTCAGTTGTAAGATAAAGAAACAGCATAGTGGGTGAACCTCAATTTCCCCGAAGGCATAGGTGAGGTCCTCCTGAAGGCTCTGAGTGTTTCTTTGTAACCGGGGTCCCGCCTC